TTTGATATTTTTTTTTCAAAAAAGTAGCCTATTCCACAGATTTTATTACAAAATTTATTTTTATTGATATTAGATCAGATGCTTTCAAAATTTTTTATCCAAATAAACAAATTTTAATTTATATGTTATCAAATCTTAATTCTAAAGTTGCAATTACTTCTGATATTTGAACTTCTAAATTTAACATAAGTTGTATTTGTGTTACCGGTCATTTTATTGACGAAAATTGGCTTTTTAATAAAAGAATTTTAAGTTTTACTAGGCTTGAATTGTCACATACTAGCCCAGCTATTGCTGCAAGTAGGGGTGATCATTTCAGCCCAGCCCGGAAGTTTCGGGCTTCATCCTGGGTTTTGTGTTCAGGCCTGCCCCAGGCCTGGGCCCATATCAGGCCCACAAATTTTAGGGCTGGGCTTGGACTTAAAACTTCAAGCCCGGCCCAAAACCGGCCTGGCCGCATATATTTAAACTTACGCATTTTGTGTATAATATATGCACATGTATACATGTTATTTTACATTAGATTATATATTTTATATATAAATATTATAACATGGCATGCATAATTTATATTATATGTAATATTTTATATTATATAATGTTTAAAATAAGTTTATATGCATGTTATGTCATTTAATATAAAATATTATAGATATGTAATGTTTTATATATGAAAGGCATTGGTTCAAAATCAGGCCCGGCCCGAGCCCAGGCTCGTATAGACCTAGGCTAGGCTTATCTTTCAGGCCCAGAACCCAAGGCCAGGCCAGGCCCGGGCCTAAGCTATAGCCCTTATCATAAGTGCAAAGCCGGCCCGGCCTGACCCATGATCACCCCTAGCTACAAGTATTTTAAATAATTTACATGCTTATGGAATTGATAATAAATTATTTTCTATTAGTTTTGATAATGCTAATAATAATGATTCAGTGATAAATATTTTAAAATCTCAATTAAAACCATGTTTAAATAGTATATTATTTCATAATAGATGTGCATGTCACAAATTAAATTTAAGTATTCAGGATGCTTTAAATATTATTTCTACTCATAATTCTAAAATTAGAAATTGTATTATATATTAAAAGTTCTAGAGCAAGAAAACAAGAATTTAAATATTTCTAAAATTAGAAATTGTATTATATATATTAAAAGTTCTGGAGCAAGAAAACAAGAATTTAAATATTTATGTCTAAATTATGGTCTAAAATATAAACATTTTATATTAGATGTTAAACATAGATGGAGTTCTACCTATGCTATGTTAGAAAGTTGTATTTCTCACAAACAAATTTTTAGTGATTTTTATAATGCAAAATTGCCTACTGATATTATATTTGAGGAAGACTGGGAAATGACAATTTGTACAAGAGATTTTTAAAAACATTTTTATGATGCAACTAAAGAATTATCGGGTATTTATTATCTAACTAGTTGTAATTTAGCTTATCAATTAATGATGATTAGTGATTGTTTTGCAAAATATAGAAAGAAACCACAATTTAAAAGTATTGTTGAAATAATGGAAAATAAATTTAAAAAAATATTGGGAGAACATTTCTCCTCTTTATTGCTTAGCTACAATATTAAATCCTAAGATTATGAAAGATGATTTAGATATTTTACTTGAAAGATATTGTGAAAATATGAATATTGAAATCGGAAAAAAATAAGAAATTAATAATTTATTATTTGAAATGTATAGTTTATATGAATCTAAAGTAATAGGGAATAATAAAAATTCTACAACTTTTACAGTTGCATTTTCCACTGCCTCGACAATAAGTTCATTTACTGAACTTAATTATTATTTACAAGCATTATTTTCTACTTCAGGTGATTCTTCCTTCACCTAGGAGGGAACAAATAACTTTAATATTTTAGCCTGGTGGAGTGAACATGCAAAAAAATTATCCAATTCTCACCACCTCAGTACGAGATCTACTAACCCCTCTGGTGTCTACAATTCCATCAAAGTCTTGTTTAGTGCAGGTACCAAGGTGTTGGATGACAAGAGAAGCTATAAGAATAATGAAAGTCTAGAGATGTGCATCTGCTTTAAAGATTGGCTAGATTCTGAAGATAGATTACAAAATAAAGGAGGGCATGACACTACACCTGATGTTTCACCTAAAGTAGATGATCAAAATCAAGAACAATAGAAGAAAATGATGAAGTCAATATTTTTTGTATACTCAAATAGTTGTATAGCATTTTTCAAATTATTGTAAATTTTGTTTTAATTTTTTTCAATTTATTTGATTTTTTAATAACATAATTTTTATTTTCAATTTATAACTATATTGTATTTTTTATTTTATTAATTTATTCCATTTTCCAATTTTCATATTTCATTCATCTAACCATTGTATGCTTTGTATCATTCAAATTTAAATGAAATAAAATTCCTATTTTTCTTCCAATTTGTTATTCACTTTGAGTCTTTGTTAGATTTGGTTAAGTATTTTTTTTCATTTCTTTGTTAGATTTCTTATTTTTCAAATAGTTCTGAAAGTTAAATATTTTAGTTTTACTTAGCAAAGAAATAAAAAAATCAAAAATGTCAAAAAAAACAGTCTGACTTGGTTCGGCGCACACCCAAGGCCTGGCATGTGGCCCAGGCCCACAACATGGGCTCGCATAGGCTAGGGCTTGGGCCGTGGGCCGTACCAGGCTGATCCCCCAAATTATCCCTGGGAAGGGCAGCACGGCCCGCACTTTGCACAGGCCACAGGTGGGCCATGCCATTCTTTACACTTCTAGATATAAACAATAGACAGAAAATATGCAACTTTTTCAATCATACATCCTTACAACCGAACTTCATACACACATAACCTTATGCCCTGATCCATTCATGCTCTTTGGTGAGTTTTCAACCCCTCTACATACTACAACCAGCATCTCTATGCGACATGGTTGTCAAGGCGACAGCTAGCTGATAAGACGCACATGGAGCGTTGCCTCGCTTAATCACCAAGCTAATTTGAACATGATGGTATGGAATATTTTTATATTCTTAATTTAAAAAATAAAATAATAAACTAGTTACAATGCGTCATCACCAGCGTTCAACACTTAGCCCTTGTATATTTGAACTGATCATGGATGAATTGACTAAACATATTTAGGAGGAAGTTCCATGGTGCATGTTGTTTGTGGATGACATTGGTTTAATTAATGAAACTAATGAAGGATTAAATGCAAAATTAATTTGATGGACAAATGCCTTAGAAACAAAGTATATGACATGTAAATTTAGTAATAATAGGAGTGTACATCAGGATACACTTAGAATTGGAGACCAAGAGATAACTCAATGTGACCATTTCTGGTACCTTGGCTCAATAGTTCATAACAAAGGTGAGATTGAGGAGGATGTCACCTAAAGAATTAGAGCAGGATGGGCAAAATGGAGAGGTGCATGCTCTAGACTTTTATGTGACAGGAGAATACCACTTAAATTAAAAAGAAAATTCTATAAAATAGTTGTAAGGCCAGTTATGTCCTATGGAGAAGAGTTTCTTTTTATCAACATTCTATGGAGAAGAGTATTGGGCAGTCAAGAAACATGTCCAGAAAATGAATGTAGTAGAAATGTGAATACTAAGATGGATGAGTGGAAAAACTAGAAAGGATAGGATCAGGAATGAAGTCATCCATAAGATCCTAGGAGTATCTCCAATAGGTGATAACATGTGAGAGAGTAGAGCAAGATGGTTCGGTTATGTGCATAGAAGACCACCAAATGCTCCAATGAGAAGTGATTTGTTACACATTGAAGGGGCTAGAAGAGCTAGGGGTAGACCAAAAAGGACAAGTGTACAAGCAGTAAGAAATGATTTAAGCACTCCTAATTTGATAGCGGATATGGTTTTAAATAGAACAGATAGATAAAACAGGATTCATGCAGCTGACTCCATTAAGTTGGAATAAGGCATGGATGATGATGATTAAGCTAAAATACTCATTTTGTGGGTTTATATAATAATTTATTTTTATTATTTTCTTATTTGGAGTAGCTGTCTTGAAGCCTCAAAGACGTAAAAATCTGAACCAATAAGCTAGGGAGAACATAAAATTTTGTCCAACAAACATATGCTTCTTTTCCTAGGACAAAAACAGGGGCTCAGCCCTTGTATTTTCTGAATTTTCTTTTCTTTCTTCTTTTTCTTATCATGAATATGTTGATTTTTCTAGATTTGAATATGAAGTTTATGATTTTTTATTAAAATTATATATACTTATTAATGAATGATGGTAGATGTTGCTATGGAACCTAGGGAACTACCCTAGCTTCATGTTTTTATTTAAAAAAGTCCATCACATAGGCACCCGCCTAGGTGACAAGGTGCCCCCTGTCATCTAGACCTTGGTGCCTTCACAACTATGCAAGCAAATGCAATTTGAAAGCAATATTAACCAGTGTAAGCTTATACCATTTGAACCAATATGATCATCTCTAGTTAAATCTATTTGTAAACTGAAATATGTATCTATTGGGTCAAATGTATGCATATACTATTTACAACAAAAAGATCCTAAAACTGTACATTTCCTTGTTTTTAGAACCAAAATTACCATGTTCTGGACAAAAACCAATATGCAATTAATTAGTACATAAACTTGGGGAAAAGGAAAACAATCGTAAAAGGAGATAATTTTAACCATTGCATATGAGTTTTATAGCAGATATTTTTAGTAACATTAATCAACTAGGCTCATATGAGACAATTTGAAGCTTAAACAATTCATGTATAACATGCGGATACGTAGTTAAATACTTAAATTACTTTTGTAAAACTAAAATTAGCACGTATATATGCACCAAAACAAATGCAAGGTTAATTAATCAAAAATCCTTTCAATATTTATCAGTAGTATGAATCAGATAAAGTTTAGGTCCAGCATAAAGTATTAATTCATGTATGATAGAATGCAAAAAGATCATGGGAAGAAAGAAAAATGAATCATATGGCAATATCAATGTGATATTTCACCTGATCCCTGAGCTGGTCAAGTAATGTGGAACCAATCAATCCAGGTCCAATAATGCCCATTGCTATTGTGGTTTTGGATAGATAGAATCTAGAGTGAACAGCTCTTAAAGCTCTTATGCAATCTTCCCGCTTAAGCACAACAGTAATATTGTATTCAGAGCAGCCTTGAGCTATAGCCCGGACATTTATATTAGCCTGCAAAAAGGTAATAGTATATGCAGATTCCCTAAAAATTACTAGTAGCCAGAATCCAAAAGGGGGAAAAAAGCAAAGGAAACAAGAGAACTGTCACTAATTGTAGAGCAAGCCATAGAAATTAAAATCCCTACTTGGCAATGCAATACCTACTTGAACATCAAGAGCAGAATAACACTTAAAATTCCCAAGCATAAGAAACCACCACATAATAGACGCACTAGAACCATATCTCTACGTGAAAGTTTTCAAATAGTTTTTCCAGTATTTAACATTCTTTATTTTAATTTAATATGTAAAAGAAATATTTAGCAATAAAAGGAGGAGATGCAAGAAGAGAGAAATATTTCTTGTAAGATTTTCCTTTTACTAATAAATTTCATATTTGCCACAAGGGAGAGTGGGAAAAGCAACACTAGATACCTTTGCCAACGCATTGAAAAGAGTAGCACTAACTCCAGGAGTACTTGCCATTTTTTGGCCAACTGCTGCCAAAATGCTACAGTTGCGAATGACTTCAACCTGAAAGAAGCATGATTAATGAATAACAGACTAACTAAAGTTTATAAGTACCAATATTTTATTAAACTAAATACCCAAAAAAATGTACAACTGTTTTTCTCCAAAAGTTGGAGAACCTAGGAGTAGTTCCAATAAGTGGTAAAATGAGAGAGAGTAGGCTAAGAGATGGTTTAGTCATGTGCATAGAAGACCACCAACAGCACCAGTTAGAACTTAGAAGAAGTGAATTATTACCAAGTGGAAGGGGCTATAAAAGCTAGGGGTAGACCAAAAAGGATATGGGTAGGAGTAGTAAGAAATGATTTAAGCACTAATAATTTAACAGTGGATATGGTTTTAAATAGAATGCATTGGCGAAACAGGATTCATGTAGCCGACCCCATATAGTTCGGTTAAGGCATGGATGATGATGATGATATTCTCCAAAAGTTGCAATAAAAGAAAGCTAAAGAAAGTAGAAGGTTCAAAAGTGTTTCATAAAACCTGTGAAAAAAGCTGAAACTAAAAGACCACAAGGTCATGTCTTCATAATTCAGGCACATATTTGAAAGCCCACTAAATTGCAACTTCTTTACAGAATATGTATCCATACAAATCAACAAAAAAGCAATGCCTATTCGCTACTCAAGAACTACTAATCGAATGGAACTTACAATCACATTCCAACCTGCATTCTTTTGCTGCTGAATACATTGCAGAAAATGCAAAATCATAATGTATGCAGTGGGGTAAAAACCATTATCAGAATTCCTGTTTGTCTTTTTGTTTTACATGTATCAATTACATTTTCCACTGCTTCTGATCCATTAAATCCATAGCTTGACAATTTGGCGCCTTGGCAACTCAAGAGAGCCAACACTCAAGTTGATCAAATGGATCAGAGAATGAACTTGGGAGTTATTTCACATTTCTTTTTTTTCTTATTTTTGACAAGTTATGATTTATGAATGTATCGATTGATTGATTGGATAACTTTGATCAAATTCACCTTGGAAAATCTCCCAGTTTACTACCTTTTAGTGTTTTAAGGTTCCGAAGAAAATAGTTGACCTATTGGAGAAAATAATGACGGATTTTCTTTGGGATCTTGGAGAAGAGAAGGACCATCTGGTGAAGTGGAAAATTGTAATGTGGCTTGCAAGAATCAAGCTTTGTTAGGAAAATGGTTGTGGAGGCTATTGTTGGAGAGTGAGATGCTTTGGCATAAGGTGATAGTAAGTATACATGGGTTGATGCAAAATGACTGGAACTGGTTTATCCTATAGAGCAACCTTGGCTTCTCCTTGGGAAGCTATCCATGCAGCCCTACCTCTTTTTCATAATCATGTAAGGTTTGATCTTTACTCGGGGACTAGAATTTGGTTTTGGGAGGATCTTTGGGTAGGAGATGTAACCTAAAAAGATACTTTTCCTTCTCTTTATGCCATCTCTGTGTAATGAGCCTATCTCCTCATTTGTCTCTTTATCTGAAGGAGAAGTGTGGGATTTGGGTTTTAGAAGAGGTCTAGGAGATTTTAAGTGTCCCCTAACTGATTTACTTTAAGTCCTAGAATTTGTCATTGTTGATTCCCTTATTTCAGACGAAAGAGTTTGGACCCCCAACCCTAGAGGGTCCTCCTCTTGTGCTTCCTTTTTCCAGTCTTTGGTCTCTCCTGTTTCTAGTGGATCCTCTTTCCCCGTGTGTGAGCTTTGGTGTAAACCAGTTCCTTTAAAAATAGAGGCTTTCTGTTGGGAGGTTTATCATGGATGAATCAATACTCTAGATATTTTACAAAAAAAAATAAGGAAAATGTGTGTTTGTCCCCAAACTGGTGAATACTCCGTAAGGCAAAGGTGAGATTGCTGAACACCTTTTTATCTCTTGTCCTTTTGTTGCCACTTTTTGGAATTGGTGCTTCTCTCTTTTTGGTTTCAGGTAGACTTTACCTACAAGCTCTGAGACTTTGTTTGCAGGTGCAACTTTCAGATGGCCAAGGAAGTGAGGAAAAGTTTTATGGAGGTGCAATAGGGCTGCTATACTGTGGACCATTTTGGATGAAAGAAATGCAAGAATATTCAAGGAAGAGGAAAAACATTTGGAAGCTCTTATAGATTGTGTCCTAATAAGGGTGATATATTGAATTAAATCTTTAGACCTATTTTCACCTTATACTGTTGATGATATAAAAAGAAATTGGAGGGAAGTGGCCTTTTCATCTACCAATATAGAGAAAATCACCAAACCATGGATACCTCCCTCGGAAAGCTTTATTAAACTTTATTTTGATGGAAGCAGCCCGGTAACACAGGCCCTTCAGGCATTAGGGGAGTCTTTAGAGATAGAGAAGGGAATATATTAGCCATTTATTCAGGCTCTATTGGTTTAGGGGATTCCATTAGAACCAAATTGCTTGTTGTCCTGTGTGGGGCTCAAATAGCAAAAGAGGTAAACCTAGAAAGGCTGATTGTAGAAGGAGATTCTCAATGGTGATTAGTTGGCTAAAGGATGTAAAGAAGGCAGCATGAGTGTACCAAGAAGGGGTTAAGGAAATCCTATGGTTTCTGAGGGGAATAACAGTGATGTTTCAGTGAGTTCCAAGGGAAACAAATCGGCTAGCATATTTTCTATCTAGGCAAGGGGTTGATAGGGAACATTTTTATTGGGCCCATCTGTGATTAGGGTAATCTTACCCCTTTTATAATCTTTGTAGACTACTGTTTATATTAATGAAAAGTTTTCACTGTTAACTATCAAAAAGAAAATAAGGTTACGAGGGAAAGTTTCTCTCAGAACAAAGCGTGTACAACTATATACTCTGTACATGATAGTTGAAATTTCTTTGTTAACAAAATGCTATTGTGTTCTTTCCAGAGGACCCAACACAAGGCTAGTGAAACTAACTTTCATAAAATAGTGCTCTACTGCCTAAACCTTGGGCGGGCCAAGAAGAGATTTGAAGGTCACCTGGGATTGGCCCCTGTCTGTGGAATAGTTGTAAGAAATGAATCTATTTGCTATAAGAAAATTACAATGAATAAGCAGGTTCCAGCTGATTCCTTGTAACCTCCACAGAGATGACAAGTGTACACCAGTTTCAAACCCCTGGTTATTAGATGGTCTATGATGGAAATTTAGCCCAATGTTTTAAAATGCAGAGGCGTGACGCGAGGCATTCCACTACCTAGAGGCATGAGGTGTAGATCAGAACGCAAGAGGTGTAAGCTTCCCAAACACAAGGAGGCGTAAGCCTCCTTAAGAGGAAAGGGGTTAGGAGGAGGATGAAGAGGAAGGGGGGATCTCATTTTTTCTTTATTTTTAATAAAAATCTTTTATATTAAGAAGAATAAAGATGCATAACATTAGTTGAAAGGGGGGTCATGTCGAAGCGGAGGCGAGCGAGCAAAGTGAGCTCGCCGAAGCGGAGCATTGATATAAACCAATATCTCCTAGGTCTTGCCAACAACCAAGTCCCAAAAAAGGCCCCATAAAATATGAAATTTGACAGACAATAATCTAGAACATTAAACTAATACTAAGCATTAATGGGAAAAACCCCAGAACTAAGCACATGGGAAAAGGATTTTTTTATCAACAACCATCACTTTTCATTTTTTTACAACTGTTCCAAAAACATTTGATCCCTCTCCACCCCTTGCTTTGCTAAAGCATCCGCATCCTATTGGCTACCCTTTGAATCCATTGAACCCTCACCTCCACATCTCTAGTCAGCCACCTGAACTTTCTTACTTCATTACTGTAACACCACAAAGCAGTCTCTCTCTTTTGCAGCCACCCTACCACCAATTCTGAATCTCCTACAATAATCAGCTTTTCCACATCATCTCCTTTGCCTCCTGTACACCTTCCATTACAGCTATAACGTCAGCCCTTAAGGAATCTCCTACTCTGATCAGGCCGAAGAACGATGCAACAATATTACCTTCATCATTTCTAAAAATCTCCCCTAACTCCTGAAATCCCCAGGTTATCCCTAATTCCCTACTACTTATATCAAAGTTGAATTTTAAGAACCATCTATCTGGAAAAGGCTTGAGACATAAAAGTTTCATTAAGAAATAAGCTTTTATAGTTATCTCTTTAGTCAGACCAAAGTAGCACACCTGGGAAAGACGCCCAGCATCCAATGCTTGGCGGAATCTAGACTGCAGAGCCTCAGCAACAGAATTTACTTCCTTCTCAGGTACAGCAAAGCAGACAGAGTGCTCACTACTAGCCTGTATTAAATCAAATTAGTAAGCATCAGACAACACTTCTTCAAATCCCTTTTAAAGCAAGTCCAGATCTCCTGCCCACGTTTATCGCAGCCACACATGGAGAACATCTCATCCTCTGCATAGTATTATGCAGGGGGAGATGTTCCCAATTCACAGGGGTAGTGTTCTGTGGGTAGACGTGGGAAGGGTTCTCGTGGGCAGAAGATCCGGGCTCCTTTTAAAGCATATCAACAGGATTTATGTACCTGGGATATCATGATAACATTAGCACCCACATCCTTCACAGCACTAAATATGCCACTAGCAGTACCAGGAACACCAGCCATTCCAGTTCTGCATGATAATAAGTTGGAAAACAAATTTCAAAGTAAGAAACAAAGAAAAAAATACAAAACATGATATTTCTAGCTGCAAAAAAATATGCATGTAACTTGAGACCATGTATGCATGCTTACCCCTCAACATTTACAAGGGCCAAATTATCAATTGTTGCAAATCCCTTTACAAGAGATTCCAATTGCTGACAATCTCCATTTTCATCAGGAAGCCTGCAGATTTTTGTTCCAGGAGCAGAGAGATTGAAGATATTTCTTATTACAATTGGAATGTCATATCGCATTACTGGAATAATGGTGCGTGGATGCAAAACATTTGCCCCAAAATATGACTGCATAAACAGGAAACTTGTTGGTTAAGACTATGCCTGATCGGGTATATGTATCCCACAAATTCTGACACAAATAAGAAGAGTTGTCAAGTTTTCACCATTTCCCAGGCCTCTTGATAGGACAATGTTCTCAATATCACAGCTTCACTAACTGCAGACAAGGAATTATTTTCAAATTTACAATCAAACCCTTGTTAAGTTTCATTCAAATTTTTCAGAATATTAAATTCCATCTGTCAAAACCTTCCATTACTAAATTCAAAACATGGTTCCCCTAAGAACATTACCACATTGTGGAATTAATTAATTCTCCCAACAATGATTAACCAAGCACACAAACAAGGGTCAGTTCAAACCTTTTCTGGGGTCCGCACTGTACACACCATCCACATCTGTCCAGATTGTGACCTGTCGGGCCTTGAATAGAGCACCCATTATAGCAGCAGAGAAGTCACTGCCATCTCGTTTTAGAGTTGTAGGAATATTTTGGGGTGTGCTGGCAATGAAACCAGTAGCAATGATTGTCTTAGATGAATTATGAGAAAACCATCTCTCCAGTCTTCTCTCAGATTCCAAAAAGTCAGGATCAACTTGATTAGAATTAGTAGGATTTACAATAAGGACATCCCTAGTATCCATCCAATTGCATTCTACTCCATGCTGCACCAAAAAAATTATTTAAGATAAGTTTCAAAAAGTTAAAATTTTCAGGTGCTTCAGCACTTCAAGGGCAATGGAGTGCTAAACCTTTCTGACAACAGATGACAACAGTTGAGCAGACCATAATTCTCCATGACCCACAACGAAATCTGAAAATGAATCTGTTGCATGACCAGCTGGAATACATTAAAGTGTCAGTAATTGCATTTTAACAGCTTCAAATTGCCAACATCAGAAGCCAAAGTAACAAGAAAAAATTACATTTATATTGTAGTGTAGTTAAACTTACAACAAGACAACTTAGAATGAGGTAAATTCAATGAATTGTACAAATTACAAATTTCTATGTAGCTGCCACATTTACATGCTAATTGAATTTAACTTCTGCATATTAAAAGAAATAAGAAGCAAAATTATAATACTCTTTTAGGACCTGCTGTACATAAGAAACACATGTCAAGTGAGAGATATCATTTGGCCTATACTTGTAAAGATTCTCACAAGTGTTGATCTTCATGTGTAACATCTCCCAACAGAAGGCCCCAATTTTAGGTGGAATAGTCCTCCCAAAGTTATATGCTCACAAGTGAGCATGCATTTTACCATGGTTGTCATTTGGAAAGGGTACCACTACTGTACAGTTGAGGTTACAGAATTTAACTGAAGACAAGGAATACAAGATAAAAAACCTATGTAAATTGCACGAAGCATTGCTTTGAGATTATTGATGTCATCATGCAACCGTGATAGGAAACTAGCAAGATCATTTCCATCAAGTAGATCCATCGCTGTTAGTTTGTGTTTTTCTAAAACAGCATCTAGTGCCAATATGTAGGAGTCATCCCGGGATCGCGCCTTGTCAATGAGATCGTACATCATATCTGTCACCTTTGACATTGCAGATACAACAACCAACTTCCTTTCTGAATCATCGTTAACAATTATATCTGCAACATTCTTAATTCTCTCAGAGGTGCCTACACAGGTCCCACCAAACTTATGAATAGACCACATATTGCCTTTGGGAAGTGATGTTTTTCCTTCAGGTTCCTCGTGCAAAAGAACTGCCAAAATCAAGGTCATCCAGGTCTCAAAAAATGAAACTAAATGTACAAAAGCAACCTTCTCAAGATTGTAAAAATGATTTCAAATACTGTTAACCAATACTAGGTGGAAGAAGGACCTGCAACAGGAGAATATATGTGGGCATAAGATGACTGTCTTCTTCCCAAAACAGGAACACAACCAATTCTGGAAGGGAACAAAAATAACAAGTTATTGATAAATTGACAACAAAGGGTGGAAAAAGAAACAAGGGGAAAAGGAAAGAATAAAGGAAAGAAAAATATAATAATCTGTGAAGCAAATCAGTCATGGAACTAAGTATTGCAAATAAGTCATTCTATAAAGAATTATTTCAAAGAAAATAAATACAAAATTAGCGAAGTCTGTAAGAAGTGAAAGAAAAATTCCTCAGGAAAGCAAAAACTAGCAACAAGACCCTGAATTTCTGAACAGCCTTCTAAGTTGAGCTTAACAACTCCTCCAGGAGGAACCAGCCCTGCAGAGCCCGCTGCCAGTGTAGAGAAAAAATAGCAACTAATTCTGCACAAATGGATACTTTTCTGGGTTTCTTCCTCATCAGGACCCAATTCGCAACTGTAATGATAATCAAAATAGTCTAAGAATATTTAAATCCTTTCCCCCCAAACACTTTCAAAAATGGCTGCTCCAATGCATCTCTACATAATTTTTGCACTCCTAGTGTACGGGAAGAAGTTGTTCCAAAAAATACCCATCACATCCCTTGTCATTTCGCGTTGAGTACCAAATGGGTTATCAATGAATATAAAAACAAGCCCATTCGAATCGCTCACCACCACCACCACCCCAGTTCAAAATAAAATACCAACTAGTTCTTAAATTCTGAACCATTTGACAGACTACAGATAATCAATTGTTTCAATCTCAGAATTCAAAAGAAAGCAATTACACACTAATAAAACAACTAGTTGCAGACGATGTTACCAGTAAAGTAAACAAGCTTTCGGAAAGTAAGCTACAGGTGGAAGTAACGAAAAAGGAAGATACCTTGGAATCGAAGACCGTTGAAGAAAAGCACCAGGGAAGGAGATGTGAGACGAAGAGGAGAAAGGGTGGTGGTGGCACCCAGAGTTGCAGCTATTCTTCTTGCTACTGTGTGCCACCGTGGCCGCATTGGATGAGACGCTACAGGAAGAAGAGAAGGAAGAAGAGAACGCCATGGCTGCTGCGGCTGCCGAAGGCCCGAAGTGAAGTGTGACGAGCGGAGTTACAGAGTGTTTCTCCCTCTTCCTCTCGCTATATCACGAGAGAGCTTTGATGGCGTACCACCCAGTGTCGCTTTGGAGTATATCTTAGTTTTCTAATAACCGTTGGAATAGAATCTTTTTGGTTGAGATGCATCAAATAACATCGTAGTATTCAGTGATTCCGTTGTTTCGGAATGTTTAATGCATCTATAAAATGAGTAAATTCTGCGTAACATCATTACATCAGTGATATCTGTGGGCAAATAATTTGGGCAGAAGGTGGCTCTCGTACAATATCTTATGGGCTTGGCTTGGCAACGCTCATAGATAGATCAGTACACAGCACACAAGTCTAGTTATTAGGGAGTCCGGATCTGCTCGTCAATAGGGCGCCCGCGGGAAGATGTTTCCAATAAAGGGTAGGATGTAACTGTGAAATCCGTGTGAGACGCGCTTTGTAAGGAGATCCAATTCGTTATTCGGTCATTTCATAAATGTGGGTCCCATACCACCATACGGCGAGTTCAAATCAGCCCCTCACAACGTCCCATGGCACATCCTTGACAACATCTTCAGATGATAATACCAGGAATGATGATCATTGGGAGATGTTCTCAATACACGGGGGATGTGTTATGGGACTTTGTAAAGGGCAGTCTTGCGGAGGGCTGATTTGGTCTCCAATTCAACTTTCTTTTTACTGTCCCCATTAACCAAACCAGAGGAAAGCTAGAGGTAATAGAGGAGGCTCACCCACCAAGAAAACAAGGAATCTATTGAGTGAAAAGCAAAAACAGTTGGGTACATTGACATTGGCGTCCTAAAATTTTGCAGAAAACCAACATATAACAGTGCCCACCCAAAACATTACAAGCAAGAACCAATTTGTTTCAATTTTGGAAACAATACATGTACACCCAATCTATTCTCAAACCATGTGGTTCTCTTTTGTTTTTGGAATTCACATGAAAAATAATTCACACAGAACACCCCCTTCATCTTTTAGTTTTGGAAACAACACATGCACACCCAATTTATTTTCAAACCAAATGGCTCTCATTTGTTTTTGGAACTCACATGAAAAATAATTCACATAGAAGACCCCTTCATCTTTTTCTTTCAATATTTTGAGAATCATTTTTAGATGCTTTTAGATGCAATCCTACAATGGAATGGCAAGATGGCCCATAAATTTCCTAAGGCTCAGTTTGGAAGGAGTACAAATGCAAATATGTACAGCGTAAATACATATAAAAATATAAAGTTTTGCACTCTACATATTTGCATTTGTACTCCTAAACTCAGCCTAAACGAAAAACTATGAGTTTTATTGTCAACTGCAAAAAAAATGGATGTATTTCCTACTTTTTCTTGTTAATCAAATGTCTGAAAAGATTGAAAAATCTAGTTTTTTATTTTTTTTGAGTAAACAATATCTTCATTATAAAAAAAGGATAAATACAACTAAACAAAAGCAACACAACAACAGACAAAGGTGGAATCAAAGCCTTCACACGATCGGTGCCAAACTCCCTTAAGACCGAGCCCAACACCTTTGCACAACCGGCCCTCTGCAGCACTCCTCAAAGGTGGAATCAAAGTCTAAGTCGACATCGTCGTGTTCAAAGGCAAGGCACCTCCTCAACGAGCCGAAGCCGAGGCCGAGGTCCTCGCCAAAGAAAGCCACTCAACGTCTCCCAGCAAAGATAACATACTCCCTTCAGCCGAAGCCGACGTCCTCAACTAAGACCTCCACCACGGCCTCGAGAGTGGGGGGCAAATGATGTAGACGCTTATGGCAGACCAATAGCATGCCCGCACGTGGTAGAGGATGGCGTATAGTGCAGACCCAATACTGGCATTGCACAGAGCAGAAGTAGGCGTGCGACATAGGCCCAATGGCACAGCCGCACGCGGCAACCTCGGATAGCCACACACACAAGGGCGGACCGTATCTTGGCCGTCTGTGCCCACCTACTCCTAGGTGGTATCTAGTATAAATAGGGAGTGACCCCCCTTAGGTGAGAGATCTAGACTCTCCTCTATTGAGAATTTATTTACTTCCATTGTGACATTGTCTGAGCGGACCCAGTTTAGGCCTCATCCACCTCTCATCACACCCTCACTAATTTGACCATCGGAGTCCCTGTCTCGAGTTATCTCCCGGGGCCTCTGACATCTTCTATTTCTCCTTAGGACTGACCTACAGGCTCTTAGCCACAACGGACCTCGGACTCATCAATCAGCCCTCGGCCTAGAAGCAAAATTACCTTGTTGCCCTTGGCCCATCCAAGGCAGCAACAAATACTATTTAAATCCCCAACTAAGCACCATGGGTGTGAAGGTGAAGCATTTTGCGCAAAAGAATAAACATCATCAATAAACTCATTTTTATCTTTCATAAGCACCATCCTATCTTTTGTAATTTTTAATTATTTGAGGTTCCTTCTTTTACCATACCAATTGATTAGTTGGTAAGGTCTTTTGCCCGTTGGGGAAGACTTGGGATCGAATCACCCTGCATACTACACTAGGATTGGGCGGGGATGCGCTACCCCAATTGTACGTGTGACTTTGGATCTCCTATCCACAAAATACTATCCCCTTGCATTGGGAACATCTCCCTATCCATAATATATAACATGTAAGAGTATGAGATGTTCTCAATGTGTGGCTGCGATCTCATGTGGATAGAAAATCCAGACTCGCGCAGCCTTAAAAATGCAGTTATAATTGGAAGGGCTATGAATATGATTCAATTTACTTCTCTTTCAGCTACGAATAACTATGAGTGAAGGCAAAGTATCCAGTCTAAATCAGAACTACTTCCAAGAGAAAAAAGAAGAAATGAAGAAAAGAATCCTGTAGTTCTATTTTAAACCACTCTACAAGTTGCTTCTCTGCAACTTAGTTCTTTCTTCCCTCTTACAGATTACCTAATCCTACACATCGATAAGAAATCAAGAAAACGAGGAACTGGTATAGTTGACCAAGTCATGGAAGGTACGTACTTGCTTTAATTCCTTGTAACCTTCGACCTAGCAACTAGGGGGGGTACAAACCTTACTTTCCTTCCTTTGTGATTTCGACACAGAAATCCGGAGATCAATCAGGGATGAGCCACCGACCCACTACACATTAGAGATCCCATCCTTTTCTTTACTTTCAAAATCTTTGATGGAGAGGTACGACTCTGGAGATTTTGAAGCCGGAGGATAACAAATGGTAAGTAGTTTAATTAAGTGGTTCTTAATTAAAGCAAAGTTTACGATTGATTTGAGGAGGAAACAAAACATAGAAATTAAAATGGATTGGTTGTAGGAAACTGGGTTTGTACCCAAATGGAGACAAGGCCAGGAATGGGCAGGATCATATCTCACTCTATTTGGTGTTGTCGGAGACCAATTCTCTTCCCCCATCGTTTGAGGTCACTGCGTTATTTAGGTTCTTTGTTTTCCATCAGATTCACGGCAATTATTTGACGTTGGAAGGTAATCATGTTTGCCCAATTCAATCTGTCTAAATTACTTATTTGGGCTGGATCGGTCTGAATCAAAATCAATTTGAAGGATTAGATACACCAACGAGGCATATTAAACAGTTTATACTTAATGGTCATTTATTATAAGATAAGAGTACAGGTGTCAATGGACCAGGTTTGAGTTGAACCCAATCTAAATTAAAACCAATTTGGACTGTTTGGACAGTTTAAACATTGAACTAGATCAGTTCAAAATGGTGGAAAATATTTAACAAATTGGATTGGACCTGATCCATCTATAATGAATTCATACCGGACCGGATCAAATTGGATAGATATCCAGTCCATCACACTCACGCCCGATTTACACTTCTACTTGAACCCGCCCTATATTGGGGACGGGGAGGGGAAATTCGAGGATTTCCCATCTTTGATGAGAAGAGGGGTGCCTTACCCCTGAACTTGCCTGACATTGAGGAGTGGTTCCCTTGCCTTGAACCCACCTGACACTAGGGACGTGACGGAGATGGAGTAGAGTGTCTTAACTATAGGACAAGGACAGGAATGGGATGCTCCACCCTAAACCCACCCCATTGTCATTCCTATATAATTGTGAATTATTAGTGAAATTAATAAAAATGTTAGCTTTCATAATTATGTTTATTTATTTAAAGTTAATCAAAATTTCATTTAAAATAATAAAAATCATTACAATTATTAAAGTTAGTACAAATTATTAATAAAATTAAATTTATTAAAAATATGTTTATTCATATTAAATTAACAATAATTATTCTCTGTAAATCAATACTAAATGAAAAATACAATTATTAAAATTTTAGATATTAACAATAATTTTGAATACTTTTAATTAATTAACAACAAATTTTGATTATTAATTTAATATTAATTAATAGTAAATAAAATTATTAAACCTTTCAGATTTTCCTGTGCATCGCACGGGTCCCCGCTAGTAAATACAAAAACACAGAAATGTTTTCTATATATGTGTATTCTCGTTATATGATGTATACGTACATTGGTGAATGGCAAATGGCGAATGGTTTATTCAATTCAGGCACACTTCCTAAAAGTTCATCCATCAAAAAATTCTTCAGAATATATAAATAAAAAATTATTTTAATGCTGACATCTTTGCTTACATACTTTTACGAATCAAACAAACTGAACTCCATTTAGGTTATATTTGGTTTGAAGGAAAAGGTATGGAAAGATAGGGAAACCTTTACAATCTTTATGTAGGTTAATTTCCTTACCTTTCCCTTATTCCTTTCTCTTCTTTTTCCTTCAAACCAAACACAGGATTAGTGTTTTATTTTTCTTTTATTTATTCTAAACACCAAAGTTGCTCCAAGATCATCATTAACATATGTTTCTCATAATAGACAAACTCTATTTTGGTTCTTGTTGAGACCATGGAAATGCACACACAGTCAAGAGTCCTTTTCCAATGAAAATTTCCAGCTATTTCTTAATGATTGTATTAGAATGTATGAGGGTGATGGCCAAAATGCATGAACAAAGTTTACTGCTTTGGGTGTAGCAGATGCAAATGGGAAAGGAAGGTGCTTTCTTTCCGTGACGAGAGAGTGGGGTTTTGCCCAGTTGATTGATCTTCAAACTTTTAAGGACCCCTCTAATGGATACCTTGTCAATGACACTTGCTGTTTTGGAGTGGAGGTCTTCATCTGTAAAGAGAGAAACATAAGGAAAGGAGAACGTTTGTCATTGATAAGTCCATCAGATTTTCCCAATTGCACTTGGAAGATTGAGAACTTCTCAAAGTTGGAAGAGGAATTTTATCATTCGGATGAATTCTGTGCTGCAGACCGTAAATGGTATTGCGCCTTCTACTTTTCCATTATGTTTAGGGGTAGTTTATAGCTGAAGTGTCTGAACTGAATACTTTACCTTTTAGTGAATAAGGCTATATATGTTGGAATGTTAAGTCTTAATTAATTTGCTTTCAAACTTTGGTATGCGTGAAAAGCAAAATGGAGCCAAAAATGGTGGTTTGATCGTCTAGTAAGAATTTATTGAAAAACACTATATATAATCGCTGAAGTAAAATCTCTTAAGATTTAGAAATCACAAATCTTGAACATGTAAAACATTTTTATGTCACCCTGGAAAAAGACTTTCCATTTCTTTGATGGAAATATATATCTATATCTATCTATCTATATAATAAATAATAAACAATAAAAAGTGGCTAGGGATATGTCCCCAAGGTTTTTTATTTTATTTTTCGATTAAAATATCCCTCTCTTTTCTGTTTTGAGGGTAGAAATTGTAAATTTGAATATTATTATTCAATTATTCAATTCCCTTTCATTAAATTCTATATTTAAGATATTAACTCACATTCTCTCTTGCTAAATCATATATTTAAGGTATCTTTGTTTATCAACATTAAAAAATCCACTAATTAAATTCATAAAATATGAAAGTATAAGGGTAAATTGGTGAAACCTCTCTTAAATTTGGTAATTGCAATCACCTCCCCTGAACTTTTTGACATAGTTGCAAGTAGACCTCCTTTGTTGTAATCCTCTAATAAGAGGCATAAAAATGTCCAAAATGTTTATGTAGTTACTTTGACCAAAATGTTTATTTTCCAAGTTTTCTCTAATATGAACCACTACCCTAAACCCTTCCAATCAAATTGATTTGTTTTTCAAATTTTCCCTTCATATCAATTGCTCAACAGTAAAGTTTCAATTTTAAATTTTCTTTCCTTTTTGTTTTCATAAAGTTTATATTACTTTTACTGTAGAAACCAGCCTCAATAATAACTGCATGGGCATTTTAGACATTTTCATGCCTCATTTTAAAGGATTCTAAGAGAGGGAGTCTATTTGCAACTATGTTAGAAAGTTCAGGGGAGGTGGTTGCACTTACCAAACTTCAGCAGAGGTATAAACAATTTACCCAAAATATAAAACCCATATTTTTAAAACTGACTTGAAAATGAAGTTGGTTTGTTTAAGTGCTAGATAGATAAGTAGTTCAGTGTTTTGGGCAAACAAGTCCATCCGTGATGTAATAATTAAATACTAAAATTTGAAAAAGATGAAAGCACAAAAGTAAGGACTTTTTATAAAAATTTGGATATATAACTAAGTATTAACTCTCATTATATTTCATTGAATCCTATTATTGATTAAAGCAATCCTACTTTTGAAGTTGGTCCCTCCTTAATTGTGAGACCAGAAGATGTAAATTGCATAAACAAGAATTGTTTATATTATCTCTCATTCTTTCTCATTCTATATTGCATAAACAATAATCATTTTTTATTGATTATAGAAATGAAATACAAAATTTAAGACCAACCGAAAAATAAAATTATTTTGCTATTTGGTGGTGGATCAACAAGTCAACCTTTTGGATCAAATGTGTCAACACTTCGTATTAAAATTAAATAATGAAAATTAGAAAAAAAGATAAAATCACCAAAAAAAGAAAAATATAGAAAATTTGTAAAAGACATTTGGACACATCTCTAATATTTATAATAATCATAACAAAGAAAAATGAGTGTGATGAAGATTAATTATTTTTATTGATGATGGAAATAAAATACAAATTTTAAAACCAACCCAAAAAATGGATTTTTGTTTGTTTGGGGGTGAGTCAACAATTCCACTTTTTGAGTCAAATGTGTCAACTCTTGATGTCATAATTGAATAATCAAAATGAAAAAATAAAGATAAAGAAAAAACATAATGAAAAATTATAAAAAATATTTAGGGACATCTTGAATATCATATATTTATCATATTAAACTAATATAAGTTTGATAAATAAGAATTATTTTTATACACATAGAAATACAAAATGTTATAAAAAATTACAAATATAGTATTAGCATCGTAATCTAAAATTACCACATACAAAGCATTAAATATTTTGCACATGTAAAAGTTTACAAAGAATTGAAACCAAGGAGGCTCATGCCACTACACAGTTCTATTGGGCTACTACACACTAGGTATGTGTCTGTGGGTGCTTGGAAGGGAAGGATGCTTATCCTTGGTTGAATGAGTGATATTTTTTTTCTTTCAAAGGAAAAAGTAATAAATCATTTAGTTTAGTGACTTCAGCCATCATCAAATGGTTCTTTTTGAATTTGTTACTTCAATTAAATAGTTTTATCTATTTTTTTTTATATATGTACATGCATGTTGGTGTTAGGAAGATGAAACTCTATCCCAAAGGTGATTCAAATGGGAAAGGCAACAGCATTTCTTTGTACTTATTAATGGTTGGTAAGTCTCCGGATGAAAAAGTGTATGTGGAAGGTAAATTGCGAGTTTTGGACCAGTTTAATGAAAATCACCATGAATCTCCAGGTGAATTAAAATGCATCATTGCATTCTATTGAGAAAAATTTAATAGGATTTTTAATTTTAATTTCCCCTTTAAGGACAAAGAGTTCAACTATAATTTTGAAGTTGCATAATAAATCGAAAAGGTGGTAATCAATCAGTTAAATTTAATTTTTATTGGTTCATGTTTACATGTAATGTTTCCCTTTATCGTTGATTTATATTGTTTTACTTCATGGTGTAGCTTTTGCATTGTAGACTTTGCTTTGCGAGAAACATTTTGTTTTCTACTAGTTTTACATGCATGCAAACAAAGCATTAATTAAGATAAACTTGTCCGTTCATAGGTTGATATGGGCATGCGTGGTTCCATGCAAATTGCAAAGCTTTTGCTTAGAATCTGAAGGAATACATTTATTTGTTTTTTCTTTTTTCTTTTTTTTCTTTCTTGAAGTGGTGACATAAAATGACTTAATTGCAGTTAAACAATGGTTCGTTGGCAAGCCTTCTGGCTGGGGTTATCACAAGTTCATGAAGTTGAGTGTTCTCAACAAACTATCAAAGGGCTTCCTGGTGAATGATACTTGCATTTTTGAAGCAGATGTTTCTCTCATCGGAGTAATTAATAGTTTATCATGAATAAATATATTATCCTTACCCTTTCCTGATATTGAACTAGAAAGTGATTGTGCATAATTAATGTTGATTAATTTATTCTTTGAATGAAAAAACCTTCTTTGTTAAAATATTTAATAGACATGGCAAATCTTTAATATAGTTTTTAACCTTTTTAACAAGGTTTTAAAAACGAAAATGGACACAGAACTGTTTTGGTCACTGGTTCCCGGGTTGAATGGTCCGATTGTCTAATTCGAAGGAACGACCCATTCTGATTTTAAAAATAAAAAATGGCCAAAAACCTTTGTCCAGGTCAATGGGTTAACAGTTCTACTTCCCAAATCAGTAGTTCATTGACCAAATCAATAATTTTTGGGCCAGAAACGGTTTTAGGGTGAAATGGAACCGATTACATGGATGGTTCCTGGGTCAACTGATCCAATCGTCCGATCTGATCCAGTTTTCAAAAGCATTCTTTTCAGAAACGGTTTTAAGGTGAAATGGAACCGGTTACATGGATGGTTCCTGGATCAACTGATCCAATCGTCTGATCTGATCCAGTTTTCAAAAGCATTCTTTTCAAGATTATTTATTCAGACATCTCCATAGTTTTACATATTTACTAAAACAAACCCTATAGTTTGCAACCACTTTTTTGTTTGGGTGACAAGCATTTTAAAATCAATTGAAAGTGTGAAATGGCATGCTCTCAAGGCTTTTATTTAAAAAAAAAAGTAGTGATATGATGCCTTATAATATGCAAACTATAGAGTAGGTTTTATTAAATACATGAAACTATAGAGAGTTTCTATGCAAATATCCCCTTTTTACCATATATTGCTGCTAACATTTTAATCGTTATTTTTTTATAACTATAATCCACAACTAATGGGTTGTATTGGTACCATGACTCAAAAGTATTGAAACATACAATTTTTTCAAATTGCACAATTCAAAGAAAAATACTCTTTAGATTAAAAATGTTTAAAGTTTCAAGAAATGAGCGAGGGCATCTTCGGTAAGGGTGTTAAGTTTCATAAGTGCCCCATATAAACTAAATTTACTTAGGCCATGTTTGGGAGTGCTAAGTTAAAAATAAGTGCTTATTGAATAAGTGTTTAAAAACAAGTGCTTATTCAAATAAGTACTTGCTTGCATTTGGCATACAACTTTTTCAACTGTTTATTTTTTAAAATAAGCACTTATTTTACATTGGACATTTGGTAGTCTTTTTTTGTAATGATCACTTAAATAAGCATTTACGACTATTCTGTCTTTCATTTATTTTTTCTAATTTTCAAAATATACCCTTTGAAAGCACTTTAAGAAAGTACTTGTATGAAAGCATTTTTATAAAAACACTTTTATAAAAGTACTTTTATGAAAGCACTTTTATAAAAGTACTTTTATGAAAACACTTTTATAAAAGTACTTATAGGAAAGCACTTTATAAAAATACTTTCATAAAAGTAATTTCGTAAAAGTACTTTTATAAAAGTGCTTTTGTAAAAGTGTTTTTCATAAAAGTGCTTTCATAAGTGTTGTGCTTTTGTAAAAGTGCTTTCATAAAAGTACTTTTGTAAAAGTACTTTCTTAAAACTGCTTTCATAAAAATACTTTCATAAAAGTGCTTCTGTAAAAGTGCTTTCATAACAGTATTTTCCTAAAAGTGCTTTTGTAAAAGTACTTCACAAAAATGCTTTTGTAAAAGTGCTTTCATAAAATTACTTTTATAAAATTCAACTAGTGATAATTTTATAAGCGTTATTTTAAAATTCAACTAGGGATAATTTTGGAAGAAAAAAAATTGAATAAGTGCTTATTGCATAAGCACTTAAAAAAAGCTGGAAATTTAGGCTTAAAAAATAAGTTTTTATTTTTAAAATAAGCACTTATTTCGGCCTTATTTCCCAAATACTAATAAGTGCTTTATGGCCCAAATAAGCACTTATTTTTAAGCACTCCCAAACATGGCCTTAGAGTTTCAAAGAATTCAAAAACCAATACATATATCATACCATACTCAACTATATACATCGCAATATTTTGAACATTGATTAGACTTGGGATGGGTCTCGATACTTCCCGTTCTGAATTGATAAGACAGCCAAACCCAATAAGATCCCACCATTAACTTATATAGTCCCTTAGAAATGACATATGAAATTATTACAGGTGAACCATAAAAAATATATATATAATGTTTTGAAAACTAATCTGGAGCCCAAACCATTTTTGTGTTTGGGTCCTGTGCCACCAGTTCGATTGTCTGGATCGAACGGGTCAGACCATGCTATGTCACCGTTTATATATTTTAAGTATATATATGTAGTGTTTTAAAAACCGACCTAGAAGCTGAACCATTTTTTGTCTCCAGGTTGCATGTCACCGGTTTAGTCGTCCAGGTTGGATGGATAATCTTTTATATTATCAGAGATGTGTCTAGATTTTCCTTTAATTTCCTTTATAATCTTTTATATTTCTATATAGCTTTAAATTTTTATTTAATTATAACATTATGAGTTGTCACATTTGACATAACTTGGAAAATGGTTTTATTTCTATGTAAATTTAAACTCTACTCCATTTCCATCATCAATAAAACCTATATATGACACTTATTTTTGTATAATATGAGAAATGCATAAGATCAGGGATGCTTGTTAATTTTTCTATATATTTTTCATGTTTTTTTTATAACTTTTAGTATCTATATTTATTTTTATTTTTATATTATTTAATTATGGCATCATGTGTGAACCTAGAGTATCAAATTCCTAAACCATTCCTCAAATGGAAAACATTTTCCTTTTCAAGACAATTTTAAATTTTGTATTCTATTTGCAATGCCAATAAAAATAATTCTTATTTATTATATTTATTTTTTCTCTTTGGATCTCTATTTTTTAAAATTTTATTATTTAGTTATGACATGTTCACTTGGACAATTGACTCATTTCTTTTTAAACTTTGTATTTCATTACATAATTAATAAAAATCGTTATCTTATTTATCACACTTATCTTTCTTTTATGTGTCTACATTTTTCTATTTTGTGTATTTTTTACATTTCTTATTTTTAAAAATTTTATTGCTCATTTTCATTCTTCAAAAAAAAAAAAGGTGCTGGTATTCACAAATCGCCAGCCTAGGTCTCCAATAGTCAATGTTTACCAATTTGCATAGATGTTTTGTAAAAGTACTTTCATAAAAATGCTTTTATAAAAGGACTTTTGTAAAAATGATTTTATAAAAGTATTTAAATAAAAGTTCTTTTATATAAGTGATTTCCCTAATATTGCTTTTATAAAAGTACTTTTCATAAAAGTGCTTTTATAAAAGTGCTTTTGCATTTTATTAAAAGTGTTTTCATACAAGTACTTTTGTAAAAGTGCTTTCATAAAAGTGCTTTCATAAAATTACTTCCATAAAAGTACTTTTGTAAAAGTGTTTTTATAAAAGTACTTCCATAAAATTGCTTTTGTAAAAGTACCTTCATAAAAGTGCTTTTATAAAAGTATTTTCATAAAAGTGCTTTTATAAAAGTACTTCCATAAAAGTGCTTTTGTAAAAGTACTTCCATAAAAGTGCTTTCGTAAAAGTACTTTCATAAAAGTGCTTTCATGTAAAAGTATTTGTATAAAAGTGCTTTTGTAAAAGTACTTTTATAAAAGTGCTTTTGCAAAAGTAAACATATATGGCAACAGTTTTATAGGTTCCTTAAAGAATGAAATGAGCAAGATGGGGCATGATTATTTTTTATGTGCAGGTAGACAATTTTTGTGCAATGGGGCTGATTTTTCATTCTAAAAAGAATATAGCCATTGGCAAGAATTTTGTAACCAAACACTGTAATGTTATTCATTCTTGCCCATTCTTACCTAAAATGAGCAAGAATTAAGAGAATGAGGCATAGAGTAGTGAACCAAACATGGCCTTGGTTACCAAAAATAGCAAGTGGTCTAGATGTGAAATAAATGCACGTATTGGCGTCTATAACTAAATTATACATGGGAAAAATGGAGATAAAGGAGTTCTGTCACCACAACGTTCGCATGGAGCTTACTCTCTCTCTCTTTTTTTTGGTAGAAACATGGAGCTTCCTCTCTCCCTTTTCATATATGTGGCTTATTTATATTTGAATTAAAATATAAAAACATAATAAAATCCCAACCAAACACTTCTTTATTAATTAAATAGCAAATATAAACTAATTTTCCATGCCACATGACCTCTTCCCATTTTTCTATCCAATCCCATTAATTGCATGTGTTTACTTCTTTTGATAATTGCATGGTTTACTTCGGGCAGCCAATAGCAGGGGTGCCAACGGTATTTGAAAATCCGATTTTGAATTCGACATTCGAAATAATCGAATCAAATTCGAATAATTTGAATTTCTAATCGGTCGAATTCGGATATGACCTGATTCGATTCGATAAATATCCAAATTCGATCGATTATTTAATTCTTATATATAATATATAAAATATTTTATATAATTTATATATAATAATTAAGTTATATAAATAATTTATATATTTATATACTTTATATCAATAAAAATATTTATTTTATATATTTATTAATATCTAAAATAATGAATTAATCGAATTTGAATCGAATCGAATATTCGAATATTTAATCGGATTCGAATTTGGATAGAAATTTTCAATATCTGTAAGATATCGAATTGAATTCGGATATCGGATTTTCTAATCGGATTCAAATTCGGATATTGCCTGATCTAGGTAACCTTTCAAAGAAGATGAGTTGAACTTTTGGGGTCTTTTCTTTAAAGATCAAGACCGTTTGATCGGTATCATGGTCTATCAGGCTGTTAAAAACATTTGGGAGGCAATTTTTCAGCGTGGAAAGACCAAGGTGATCTTTGGCATTTA